TTTTTTAAGTCCAGTGGAGTGAGATAACATTTGGAAGTGGCTCAGACAGACACCTCCCTGATTCCCTGGAGCAGTGTTTCTCAACCTTGGCCCCTTTAAGAGGAGTGGACTTCAACTCCCAGAATTCCCCAGCCAGCCATTCTGGGAGTTGAAGTCCACTCCTCTTAAAGGGGCCAAGGTTGAGAAACACTGCATTGGAATATATGAAGGGGAAGGAGGAGGCCCAGCACAATGAGGCTTGCAAGATTCGGTTATTACAGCCAACCTCCATAAAAGTAGTTTTAGCCATCCTGTGGAATTGATTTCCTGGTCTGGCCTACCTGGTGGGGGTGACACTCTCTGTATGTAATGAACTAGCCTGCATCCTCTTTGCTCTGCATCTGTCCCTTGTTTTTGCAACTGCCAAATCGCTATCGTTTTGTTTTTCGTTGACTGTAGCAGAATGAACTCTCACACCTTTTGGCAAACAGAATGTTGAGAACTCAGTGTTGGTCTGTTAAATCCAAAAGCTGTTAGATTGGGATTTTACAGTAATGTAAATCGCTCCATCCATCCATCATCTATCCATCCATGCATCCATCATCCATCCATCCATCCATCCATCCATCCATCCATCCAACCATCCATCATCTATCCATCCATCCATCCATCCATCCATCCATCCATCCATCCATCCATCCCGTCCATCCATCAATCATCTATCTATCTATCTATCTATCTATCTATCTATCTATCTATCTATCTATCTATCTATCTATCTATCTATCTATCTCAATCACATTAGATTGGGATTTTACAGTAAGTGACTCTGGGCGATGTACAGCAATTGAATTAATTAAATGGAAACGGGTCAGCACTCAGAAACTAATTTAATGGGTAGCTTGAACATCTCTGGAATACTAAATCCGTATTCCTGAATCAGATATTGTCCAGTTTAAGATGTCTGTGCAATACCCAGTGGTTATGTTCGCACAACTTGTTAGATTAAGCAAATAGAATTGGGTAGTTCAGGATTGTCGTGTTGTGGCAACCCGGCCATTCTCTTGTACCTTGTGTGAAGCAGGCTGTTCCGTTAAATCAGGACATGGTTGATTTGATGGGCAGCGGTTATTACTGAGGCCTCTGTTGTATTTTTTCGAACCAAGTTCAGGGTTGAATGTGTGAATGAGGACAAAGCACAAACGTGAACATACGTATGTGGTGCAGAGAACCACACACACACATTCTCTCTTTTATTTGCTCCTTAACTCTGCCCTGAACTTACCAAGAGTCTCGTGGGTCAAAAAACAGCTCCTTGCCGGTGAAAACTTGCCATCTAGTCAGGTGAGTGGCTGGTGATGGTTGAACATGGCCAGGTGAGAAGCGGGATGTAGGGAATCGGAAATGCCAGCTACGGTAGACCACTCTGGTGGAACGCTGTTATCGGCTGCTGATCGGTTCATTGGTCAAACTACATTTTCAGCAATCAAATCCTTGATCCTGTTTATATCCTGGGGATGGAAAACAAGTTGAAGATGGTTTGAACGGTTTGAAAAGGACATGTTGATTGACACACCCCTCAATCTGTGATTCAGCTCACACTTTGTGCTGCGCCATCAAAAGTAGTTTTGCTTCGGGTTTAGCACATTGGGTGAAGTATTTAATTAATCAGTGTATTTATTTATTTATTTATATGCCACCTGACTCTCAGTGACTTTGGCCGGTTTACATATTGAAGACAGGTGATACGGCTAAGATAATATGTCCGTGGCGTGTCGTTGCCAAGACTATGCAGAACGAAGTGAATATAATACCCCCCCTTATTTTGGGGGGGTGCCTTTGAATCTGTGTTGACTCCTGGCAATTGCCTGGAGGAGTCCCTGAAGTTTTCTTGGCAAGATTTCAGAGGTGGTTTGCCCTGGCCTCCTCCTTCCAAGGGCTGAGAGAGGGACTGGCCCAAGGTCACCCAGCTGGCTTCATACCTAAGGTGGGACTTGAACTCACGGTCTCCTGGTTTCTAGCCTGGTGCCTTCACCATGACACCAAACTGGCTCTCAATAGCCCTCTTACTGGGGAAAAATGATAGTTGTGAGACAGATCCCCCAGTTGTCCTCCAGAATTCATATTTCACTGACACCCATCTGGTTAAGCTGCGGTGGCTTGACCCATCACTGCCAACCTGATGGCTTCCAATAGATTCAGCCTGCAGCTCCAGGAATTTGTAGAAAGCTGGAGATGGTGGAGATGACCCCTGACTACTTTTCCTCCTCTTTCTCCTCTCTCTTCTCCTCTGCCTCTTCCTCCTTCCCCTTTTCCGTGTGCTGTTGAATGCTAGCAAACTCATGGCAGCTTACAATACAACCCACGATAATATAGATATACATTATATATAGACACAATTTATGATATATATTGTGTCTATTATAGGGTGAAATAAAACGACCATGGTACAAAAATCCTAACTATGCAATGCCCAGAAAATACTTGGTAAAACCAAAACATAACGATATCAAATAATTGAAATTACAACATAAAAGCAGCAAAACAACCGATGGCAAAGACCCATTGCTCAAAGGTCCTCGGAAAAGTTTCACAACTTCTGGAAAGCTGTTCCAAGGGGGCCAATTTAGCTTCTCAAAGGAGGCTGTTCTAGAGTGTTGACCCATAATGGAAAGACACCCCCTTTTGTTCTCAGTTCCCCTTTTTCTTATGGAATTGAGGCACTGAGTGAACAGACCTGGAGGTCCCTGGGTGGCATACTGGGCTTTGTACATCAACACATTTTGTAAGTTTGAAGACCTCCAGCAAGGAAGAACTTGACCAGTGCCTGAGATGTTTGGGAGAAGCCAGTCCAACTCATCTGAAGATGCCAGGCCGTGTTCAGGCTCTCGGGTGGGGAGAGAAATAATTTTCCTAGAAGATACTCAATTTGGAGCATTAATTGCTCCCTGTTTGTTCTGACAGGTACTGGATCTCAGCTTTCCCTGCAGAATTTGACCTCAACCCAGAACTGGCCGAGCAGATCAAAGAGTTGAAGGAACTTCTCGGACGGGAAGGGAGCCGCCGACACAGCAACCTTATTGATATCGAGAGCGTGTAGGTAAACGGCAGGACGGGACTCGTGTCTCCATAACTATCCTTCCGATCCACCCGCAGCACCTCTGGCTTCATTTACGGCTATTTCTGGCTGGAGTTGCCTCACATCTTTAACTGGGTTCATTCCAGAGCCAGCAACTGCATTTGCATAACACAAAATATGATTCATTGTGAGATGAGTTGGATTGATTGTTATGGTTTGGGTGGGCTCAGTATGCTGGGGGAACCCATCCCAGTTGGGGAGCTGATGATTCAGGGCATTGTGGAAACTTAGGAAGTAGGTTAAATCAGTAACCAAGTTAAGCAGGTTGTGCAAAAACCTAATCAGTTGGTTTGAACTCTGGCAGAAGTTAAGGTAAGGTGTGATTCAGATCAGCTAATATTGTTGACATTCTTGATGACTGTTCCAGATTCCTTCTCCTCCTCCTCTTCTAGTTGTTGAGATTAGGGTTGTTGGTTTTTTTTGGTGCCTCTATCCAGCCCAACTTACAAGTGGAAGAGACAAGTTACACAACGCCACCCCGTGGCACAGAAGAAGCGCAAGATGTCACTGCTTTTTGACCACCTGGAGTCGGGGGAGCTGGCAGAACATCTCACCCACCTTGAATACCACTCCTTCAGCAAAATCCTGGTAAGTGCATGGAAGAGAAAGACCTGCTCACATCATCCTTAACCAGAAAAGCTCTGATTGAATCCCGGTCCTTAAGGCCAAGTAGAGCAGTGGCCATCTAAGATATATGGCTTCCATCTCTTCATATTGGGTTTCCTGGCTGTTCCTTTCTATAGGAGAAGCTAAACTGTACATCAGGACAGCTTTCTCCAGATGTGTGGACACCAGCTCCCGGAATTCCTAGCTGTGGCCATGGTGGGTGTGTAATTCTGGAGTTGATGTCTCCACATCTGGAGAACTTCCAGACTGGAGAAGGCTGGGCTAACTTGTCACAGCTATGGTCAGTCAGTTCTGTCCCCATAAGGTCCACACTCCCAAAGTTAGAATATCTAACCTAGCTTAATGTTCCTCTACAAACAAACCTGGCTATTAATAGTAAGCTTGAAAGATTTTAAAATCAGAGATATTTTGCTAATTTGCTTTGCAGTTGCTTTTCTTTTTTTAAGGAGAAGAAAATGTCGGTGGGTTTGTCCTGGATGTGATGCAAAATCCTGACACTAATTTGAATTACAGGATGGTCAGAGAGGGTGTCTTTTTCTCACAATCCCCTCCATAGCCTCTTTGGCTTCGTATACTTACTGAACCCCATGGAAGGACATGCAGGACAAGAAAACTTCCAGGGAATTGGAAGGCAGAGTTTTGCCCAGAATGCTCAATTCTCCTTGAAAGACGTTCAAAAGTTGATGCTTTCATTGCATAAGACCATTACTTCCTACTCTGAGAACGGCATGAGCCTTGGAGGTATCTCCAGAGCTGCTTCTTGCTCCAACCCCCTTCCTGAGCCTTGAAAGCCCTCCCCCCTTTTCCCAGTTCCAGGACTACCACAGTTTTGTTATGCACGGCTGCACGGTGGACAATCCCATCCTGGAGAGATTCATCACCCTCTTCAACAGTGTCTCCCAGTGGATTCAACTCATGGTGCTTAGCAAACCCACCGCTCAGCAGCGGGCCCAAGTCATCACACGCTTTGTCATGGTGGCCCAGGTGAGTTTGCCAGTCCTGGAATACCATTCTGTGATTTCCGCCTGCATCTGTTCCCTGTGGTTGTATTGACTGATACCACCACCAGTCAGTGGACCTTCTCTCTGGCCATGGAGTGGCCTTCAACTCCCAGCATTCCCTGGAATGTCTACCTTGACTGAGAATTCTGGAAGTTGAAGTCCAAGCAGTGGGGGAAGGGATGTGTTAAGGAGAGCAACAAGCCCCTTGGTGTGTTGGCACAGCTCCTAAACCTGGGTTAACACAATGGTTGTGTTCTCATAGCATCATGCTGGCTGGGGAATTCTGGGAGTTGAAGTCCACACTTCTTAAAGTTGCTGAGGTTGAGAAACACTGCTCTAGGTCATTAAGTTGTATTCCAGCCATCCCCAGACTGGTATTCAGGAAGTCTCTTGGATTGCAAAGCCCAGAATTCCTCCCTCTGACTGAATTGGCTGGGAATTGTGGGGCTGGTAGTCCAGCATATTTGGAGGGCATTGGCTTAGAAAAATTAGCAAGCAGCATCTCTGTGGACGATGCTTCCTGTCTCATCAGTGGGTCCCTTTTAACAGAAGGTCCCGGGAGCTGAGCCAGAAGCTGGTGGGGTTCACACAACCCACTTGACCAGGCTGAAACGGGTTTGGGCCATTTGTGGTTGAGCGTGTAGCATGACCCTCTTCCATGATCTTGGCATGTGGTATGAAGCAGGCTCACGGGGCTACAGCCTCACCTCTGCCTGGGCCAAATTGGGCTCTTTGAGTGCTTGATAGAAACAGGATCAGCAGCAGGTTTTTGGCAGGGGTAAGAAATTTTCCTGTCATTTGAGATGGCCCCAGTTGGAATATAAATAGTATAAATAAATAAATACCAAATAACTAAATTAAGAGACCAGGAACAAGTGCCCAGATTTCATATTTTGGGCTGTGCTCCTGTATCTCCTTTAAAGCAGAAAAGGGGACTTTATTTTTAGCCGAGGCCTCTGTGTATTGTTATTCTTGTTGTTAGGTTCTCAAGAAGTGTGTCGATGAGAGCACAAATCGCCAACCTCATTTCAATGAGGCCAAAACATATGGTTTTTTAAAGGAATATAGATAAGTTACCTTTGGCAGAAGCTTAACACAGATCATCTTACCCACACACCCCAACGTGGCCTGGAGTTAGAAGAAATATCCAGAATCCTGCCACAGCCTCTTCATGTTTTGCTACCAACATTTGGCAGGGTGGTTTGCTGCAAAAATAGGCCGGGGACCATACGTGGCTTGCGGGGGGTTTGACGATTACAGGCTGCCCACCCCGCTTCTAAACCCAGCAGTATCTGTTGTTGCAGCCTTGCAAGCCCATCTTTCATTTTCCTGGCAAACATGAGTTAGAGCATTTCCTTTCCAAGTTCATTACAGTTTTAGCAGCGGCGTCTCCTGCCCTCCCTCCCTCCCTC